ACTATTAAGTTTCTACAGGAAGAGTTGGTAATAGTATTGTTACAAAGGCGACTATTCCAAGGTTATATAGATGCTGGAGAGTTAAACATTCAAGGACGAATGTTTCTAAGGGGGGGAAGGATGTTACATCTCGCGTTTTTGTATGTTAAAGTTTTGTCTTCAGTTAATTGACGTAGACTCGGGGATGAGATTATTTTGAGATTAACGTATTTATGCTATTTATAACAAGCGATAAGTAAGTGTCATGAAGGATAAAGGGTACACGAATTAAAGAAAACGGGTTTCGTTGAAGGTGGCCGATTTGGGATAAAATATGGGTTGAGCGATAATATATGATATCTATGGACTAGTACCATGCAAGGTACCATATAACCACTGTATATGATATATAAAGTATATTAAAAATAAGTAGAATTTTAAGTAATTTGAGATAATTTTATATTATGCGGATAATTGATTAATTATTGGATAATGGAACAATATTCAATTAACTAATAAGTGGATAAAAATTAATAAATTCTACCCTCCAAAACGTGGCAGTTGGCCACAATCTAAAGCAAATGACTCCTTAGTCATTTAATAGGTGGCAACCAAGTAGCAAAATAAAGGACACTTCATTCTTATATTGGTATATCATCAGAATAGTAGTCATTTTACTACAATTAGAACTTAGGAAATGGTTTTCAAACAAAGTCCATTAAGAGAACAAACGCTGCCATTCCCAATTTCAAACAAAGTTCCATTAAGAGAATAGAACATTGCCATTATCAATTTCAAACAAAGTTCTGATTCTAAATACTTCAATAAACAACGAGAATTCTAGCAATCAAATTTCCTACAAGGTTCCAACAAGAATTTTTAAGAATCGTAGCAACATAAAATTTTGCGGGTCTAAAGGAGTACGGTGCAATCTTTTCCAAGAACATTATACGGATTTTTCCCAACTCCAAGTATGTTAAGGCTATCCCTTCTTTCTTTTGGCATGATCCCTACGGTACAAATGAAATGAGCAAAATACGCAACTTTCATAAATGACTCTATTCATAGAAATACTAGGGGTGTCTATATTCTTGATTCCCCATGTGAATTATTATTATCTTCTTTTCATGGGTCCCAGAAAAATACGTATTTGATAAAGTTTATCCGAAATGTATATTGATTTTCATGGCATTCCGAGAAAATCTTATTAATGTATTTCTTATATATTTCATGCATTTATACATATACATTGACTCATGACCAGATGGCATTATATACGTGTATATATGTATATTATATTTATATGGGATATGGAAAAAGGTTACGGCGTTATATACGCATCACCACATGATTAGTTGGTATATGTTGATAAAGTTGCCCACAGTGGCCGAGAGTGGCTTGATGATGTTATGTACACCTATACTGATGCATGACACGACATTTATATGCACGTGCATGACATTATAAATGTTTCAGAATTTACAAAGTTATTCGTATTTACAGATGGATTTCTTTATTCCATGTTTCATCTATGTATTTTACGTACCGATTTTCATGCCTTACATACTCAGTACATTTTTCGTACTAACGCCCTATTTCACGGGGCCTGATTTTCATGCCCGCAGATGCAGGTAGGCAAGCTGACGGTCCCCCTTCTTAGGATCCTTGATCAGTGAGAGTTGGCGTGCTCTACTTGATCTAGAGTTGCTTTAGGTTTTGGTATGATATGCTTGTATATATATACATGGGTATGACATGGCTCAGTCCTGTCTTTGTACAGTTGTGTTTCCATTAGAGGTCTGTAGACAGTTATTTATAGTTAAATAGTATGTGGCCTCGTCAGTTTTTAGTTTTGGATATATAGTTGTCTATAGCGGCCTTGCCAGCTTGCCCACTATAATCCGCACGTATATGTATATATGTCTTTTGGACAGCTTTTCCTCATGCATGTTATTCTCGTAATTCAGCAGATATTATTCATGTTTATATCTTAGTCGCTTGCTTAAGGGTGTTCGACAGGTAGGACTCGGGCACTCGTCGCGGCCCATCGGTTTGGGTCGTGACATGACTGGTGTAAATGGGATTACTTCTGTCTCCATGAATGATTACCTCCTGATGATTCCATTCGAACTTCACGGCCTGGTGTAGCGTACAAGCCACAGCTCCAGCAGCATGTATCCAAGGTTGTCCCGGTAAAAGATTATACGTAGTAAATATGCCCAATACCTGAAACTCAACATCAAATCAAGTCGGGACCATCTGCAAACAAAGGTTAATTTCCCCAATTGTGGCCCTTTGAGACCCGTCAAATGCTTTCACATTCATACTCCCTGTTCGTATCTCATGGAAATCTTTACCCAACCTTTTCAGAATAATCAATGGACAAATGTTGAGGCTTGAACCCCCATCTATTAAGACTCTGGCAATGAATTTGTCCTCAAACTATACTCTGATATGCAGTGCCCTGCTGTGACTTAGTCCTTCAGATGTTAGTTCATCTTTGTGAAAGGTGATCTTGTGGCTTTCCAGTACTTTCCCTACCATGTTGGACATTTCTCCACTAGTTATGTTGTTGGGCACATAAGCTTCATTCAACACTTTCATTAACGTATTCCTATGCATCTCAGAATTTTATAGCAGCGACGGAATGGAAATCTGAGCAGGTGTTTTGTTCAGATGATCAACAACAGAGTATTCTCTTGCATGTACTTTCCTCCAGAGATCATCTGGACCAGTTTTAATGATGGGTGTATTTGGCATCAACTTCCTTGCTTGTTCCTCCAAAATTTTCAGGTGTATAGATTCTTCCAATTCTGGTCATCCCCTTTGCAGCACCATACTCTTCCATTTTTTCTTTTCCTTTTCTCCTAGCTTCGGCAACATAATCCCAAGGTATGGCATTGGAATTGAATGGTGGTGTGGATGATACCGTCATAGTGAAGGGTGTGGCTACTTATACTTCAAATGGAGTAGGCGTAGTCGCAGGTGCTGTCACTTCGATTTCAAATGGAACTGATGCAGCTATTTCAACTTCGACCAGTGGATGTATATCTATACCACAATAGGAGTGAGTGTGACTGCAAGTTTCTTAGGGTCGTCACCTTCCCGAATAAGCTCAATTGACCCTTAAGGATCCCATTCTTCATCAGTTTCTATCACATTTACTCCTTCAACCCTATGATCTGGGAGGGGATTATTGCGGACATTGGGTGCGGCTTCCTTTGCTTGTATGACTTTGGTATCAGTCAGGGTCTGAATCTTGTCTTTCAGAGTGCGGCACTCGTCAATAGTATGTCGTTCATGCCAGAATGGTACTCACATGTTTTGTTCGGATTGACCCATTGGGAGGAGTTTTCCATGGCGACAGCGAGAATAGGGATGACATATCCGGTAGCCTTTAGTCTTTCATATAGTTGGTCGATGGGCTCAGTAATAGGGGTGTATTTTCTGGGCGGCCTGCAATCGAAATTGGGTCTGGGTTTTTGATAGTTTTGATGGGTTGGAGGTGAATGGTAATAGGCTGGCTAGGTGTTATAAGTGTGATAGACGGTAGCGGGTTGAGGATATCTAGGAGGTGAAGGTTGGTATGTGGGTGGAGGTGTTTGGTATATGAGTGGAGATTTTGGACCTTGGGCTACCATCACTGCCCCTACTTCTTTTTTCTTTGATATACCCCCTGATTGTAATGTTTTGTTCGTAGCCTGCAATGCCTCAAAATTGGTTACCATCCCGCTTTTGATCCCTTCTTCAATCCATTCCCCTAGTTTGATGATGTCAGAGAATTTGTGATTTTCGATGACCATTAACCTTTCATAGTATTGTGGGTCCTAGGCCCTAATGAAGAATTTGTTCATCTGCTCTTCTTCTAGTGTCGGCCTGACCTTTACAGCTTTTGACCTCTATCGAGTAGCATACTCGCGGAAAGTTTTCATTGGTTTATTATTAAGGTTCTGTATGTACAAGAAGTCCGATGTATTCTCTTTATTAAACCTGAATTGGTCCATGAAGTCCAATGCCATGCTTACCCAGTTAACCCACTTCTTGGGATTTTGACTGATGTACCAAGATAGGGCGTCTCCAAAGAGACTCCTCATGAACAGCTTCATGCGAATTCTTTCATCTTTCCCAACTCCCACGAGCTTATCACAGTATGTCCTCAAATGTACCTTCGGGTCACCCGTTCCATCAAACATTTCGAACTTAGGAGGTTTGTAACCCTCCGGTAGTTCTACGTCTGGCTGAATGCATAGATCCTCATAATTTAGACCCTCAATTCCTTTGCCTCTTTCAACACCCTGGACACGGCTTGTGAGCTTCTTGAGCTCCTCCGCCATATTATTAATGAGCAGATCCTTCTCGATGGATTCTAGAGTGTATGAGATTGGTTGAGTAGAGTGGAGTAAAGTTTCCACGTATAGGGATTGTTTTGGTGGGTGTCGGGGGTTGGAGTGTAGTGGTGATCATTAGTTGAATTTTGTGGATCATGGATAGGTTGTGGGGTATTCTAAGGAGTATGGTAAGTGGTTTGTGGGTACTGAGTAGGGGTGTGCATTCGATTTATCGATTCAATTTTGACCCTTATCGATAATTACTTATGGATTATCGATTTGTACATATGCTTATCGTTATAGTTTTAATAAGGTTTCAATTTTTTCGATTTCAATTTATCAAATTTTGGGGCTTATCGATTACATAAATAAGAAAATTTGCGGGATTCCGCGAAAAGTATATCGCTATAAACACGTCTAACTAATATGGACAAAAAGAAGCTAAAATAAGACGAACACCATTTATAACATAAAAATTGTGTCAACAAATACATGCAACAAAACTAAAGTAAGGCATCAAATGTATGCCACCAACACTCCAACGGTATTAAAAAACTACATCATCATGGCTAATTCTATTTTCCATTAATTTGAACTTCATTTCCTTGAGCTTTAAATATGCCAAGAAAATGACATTGGCTCAATAAAAGTTTTTTGCTTTTCTATCAATAAATAAGCAGCATGATACAAAAGTCATACCTGAACTATGTCACCAACATTGATAATATAAGCATCTGGAGTTGGTTTAACTTGTATCCATTCTCCATATGTCTTGTGTTTCACCTCGAGACCACCAACATCGTCTTGAGCAAGGACAGTCAAAGTGCCTGAATCCTTGTGTCGGCCAACCCCCAAAGCCAGATGATGAATCGGGCACAGAGGATAGTAATTTAATCGCATAAAAGCGGTGCTGAAGAATGGGTAGAGGAAATAATAGGGTTAGGGACTTAGGGTAAAGGAAAGGGTATTATAGAATAAGGATATATTTGTCTTTTTAGTATATCTTATCGGTTTATCGATAAACTGAATAACCGAAGAAGATAAAATCAAAATTGATAAGGAAATTTTCGAAATCGATAAATCGATAACAAATAATGGATTCAATTTATCGATAAACTGATTCGAATGCACACCCCTAGTACTGAGTCAAAAGATGTTGGTGCTGAGGAGGAGTTAGTACTGGTAGAGGATTAGGATTTTGGGGAGGTGTTGCGTATTGATGGGGTGCGGGAGGATTTTGTGGACATTGGTTTGTTGTGTTTTGAGGAGGTGCTGGGTTTTGAGCATTTTGCTGGTTAAGATCTAGGACGTTTAGGGTGAGTGAGAGGTTCACCAAGTTGCGGACTTGCTCAAGTTCCCCTTACAATTCTAGTAATTTCTGTTCCAATCGTAGGATCAAATCATTTTGTGCTGGAGTACTCCGACCATCTGAAATTTCAACATTTTCCATGTGCGCAACATTTTCTATCCAGATACCACTCATATCATCCATCTTAGCCTTTCCCTTGCTTTTCGGATTACTTGGAGGAGGAGGAGATGGAGGGCCTCTAGATCTGGTGTGATATGCCAACGATGCCAGTATGTGCGAACCAACCTTAGGGGATGGGAATAATCAAAATAAAAAATGCAAAAAGGTAAACAAGTCAGTAAGGATTCTGAAAAGTATTTGTAGTATTAAAACACGTATTGCAGAAATGTAAATTCGTGTCCTAATTTGGGGAACCTCGTTGTCCCGAGGTAAGCCTAGCGACAAGTAGATTTGGAGAAATTTAATACCGATAAATGCCACATTTGATTAATGTAATAAATAAGACAAAAATAAAAACAACAATAAACAAGAGTTACTAATGGCATCTGCCTTATTACATTTGAATTCCAAAACGATTCAAAAAACAGATAAACCTAATCTACTTGGTCCCGGAGAGACCTTCTCTATATTTGACCCTCTTGGCTCCGTCGATTCGATTCCCCAGGTCATGCATGTCTAGAAGCACGCCCTTGCTAGGTGTCCTCCTTCATTCCCCTCTGCATTCTAACAGTCCACGACCCTTTTCCTCATCTTCCCTTCTAGTTCCATTAGACCCTGCTCCAAATATTCCAACCTTTTTGTCGACCTCGTAGCCATTTACCTTCACTCGTTAATGACTCCATGTCTAACTTGTGTTGTTCCAAATTCCTGGCTTCGGACTTAAGGGCTCTTTTGCGTAGCCTCTCATACTTCACATGTGCTTCAGCAGCCTCATCTACCCTGTTTCCTTGACCAGCCCCTAGCTCGACTATTCCTGTTATGTTATCTTCTAACCATGATGGGTAGAAGTACACATGACCTGCGTGATATTGATCTGGCTCGATGGTATCCTTTTCTACGATAATCTTCAAATGCCACATGTGATGGGCCTCACATTTGTATTGAACGGTGTCTTCCAAAAAATCTTCTTTTGTTGTGACTCATTTTGGAGACTCGCAGTATGACTTTTTTCTACCAGCTTATCTCATGACCCTGATAGGAACATAGGGATGTATGCCCCTTAACCCAATAAACACCAGATGCGGAACATCCCTGGATCTGATGATGAATTCGCTAGTAGGGAACCACTCGAACATCTAATGAACCTTGTCCTCGGTCAAATTGCTAAAAAATTGTACCCATTCTATAGCATTCTCTGGGTGTACAAACCTGTCTGGATAAAGGTCATTCTTTTCGGATAGTGGAAAGCTATGTGATCATTCTATAGTCTCCATGGAAACTCTTGGCGGCATTGGCCTCTCTAAAGATGTTCTAACAAACAAATCTGCAGCAACAAGTTACAACCCCCAAAATGATTGAATCCTTTCTCGCAACGATCCAGATCCCGGTATATTTCTGCTACAATCATCGGGACAATAGTATATGTTTGTCCCTCGATCCTCTCCATTAAAGCTCTGGTTACCATGGCCAACCTGGTGTGAATTCTGTCCCCTTGGCTTGGAAACACTATCATACCCAGAAAGCATACGATAAATACAAAAACCCTACGATGAGTCCAACCCAGGGAAGTGATGGAGAATTCATCATGAAAGATACGGTAAGATTTGTTGTGTCTGCATCGTTCATAGAGGAAGTCAAAGGGTATGTAGGACTTCTTCAGGCATGCCAACTCGTCATTATTTCTCAGACCCATCATCTTCAGAAACCCCCTGGTCGTGCTATTTTCTGGTACTAGTAAAACGGGACTATGGTAATCGAGCGAATCCTCCTATTTCCTCCAAAAAGGATTCATTTCTATATTGCCAAAACGGAATACAACCCTTTCTCCGTCCCAGAACATAGTAGCAGCCTCGATCAGCATGTTGTTTGGCTGGATGACCTATAAGGAAAGTAAGTTTCCAAGAACCCTTTTCACGTGATTTTTGTCGCTTGGCGAAAAGTTTTCCCACCAATCCAGCAATAACGGTGGTATATGTCGGACCATGTCGAACCTGGCGACTTCGTGCCTCATTTTCTGCAAAAATAAATAGAGTTAGACCCTTGCCCCCTCCGAATTCGACTACTTATACATTAACGATTAGCATGTAGCCATTTATCTCTCCAAATAATGCACATATCGTGGTTGCGCCTGTTGGGATTCTGGAAATCCCGGTGGACTTTGGACAAAGTTTTTCTTAGAGGGTTATTATGCAGACAACATATTAACTCATGCTAGGTTTGATCATGATGCATGTATAGCTATTATCAGAGTAAGGTTTTTATAGAAGTCTAGACTGGTACCCTCAAGCAGACATCTTGATAGGGAAAGGCACGGAACCGTCGATTGCACCGCTGATCGACTAGTTTTACCGCAAATAATGCTCTCCAAATTTAAAGGGTGATTTTAGGAAGAGTACGAACACTCATCAAGTGTCGCTATGGTATTAGTACGCATAAGTGGAATATGATATTGAGCATGCTTTATGCAAAAAATAACACGTTGTCAAGTATTTTCACATGTTTGAAAACAAATGCAATATTGAATGAACGTAAAGACATAAAGGAAAGAAAAACAGGGAAAAAGTTAGTTCGCGAAATGAAGGAATTGTAATAAAGCAGATAAAGGGGGTAAGGATTGGGGGGAGACATGATATAGCAAAATTAAATGTCGGGAACAAGTGAGCATGATTAGTAAATAAGGGAAAACACACGTTGCAATCGAATTAAACGAAGAGTTGCGTATGAGTTCATATAAAAGGGAAATAGGAAAAAGGATGTGCATGTAGCAATAAAAAGGAAAACACGAGTGGGATATTCAAATGATAGCAAAATAACAAAAATACGCTTATCGAGAAATACTAATTCATGTAGATCAAGTTCGTAATGGTAAGAGCCTAAAGATAATATCCAGCAAAGTCGCCATGCTATCGTGCCCCCGTTTTCTCACGAAATCGGGTTTCGACATTTGACAACTCCTTTGAGAGGATAGGGAAAAGGAATTAGTTAGAGTCCCCACCTGCACCTGGAGCAGATAACTCATATTATACTAGTTTTCATCACCAGAGATCGAGTAAGGGCTCGAAATTACCTCGAAGAGAAGGTGTTAGGCACTCTTCAAAGTCCACAATTGTGGGTCCCGAACTCAATTATGAATTAGTCTAATAAAGAAGCGAAAGAGTTATTTAATAAGGACGGGACCCCATGCAACATAAATAATACTTCGCAACTCCCTCGAGGATAAGGGTGTTACTCATATTATCAAGCGGGCACAGACTATCATCTCTTGCTACCCGATTACTATCTTTAAGTTGTTACTTAAAGCGCTCTAGTTGATTATAGTTTGTTTCCTATGCGTGCACTACCTGTCTCTTACTTATGGCCCTGGAGGCATAAGGACCTCTATTTGGGATGGTTCTAGACTAAGCCTAGGTTGCTCAAAATTATAAAATACTAGGCGACAAGCAAAACAGTTAGGAATTTTCACATAAAAACAAATATGGGCTCATATTGACCTCCACACATAAACAACAAATGCACGCAACTGATTAGTAGGTTTTATTAATCGCAGAATCCTATAGATAGGATATCTATGTGAGAAGACAGGCGAGCAGTGATATACATAATCAGTTTCATTAATGCGAGTGTCAAGGCATATTATTTTGCCTACTGATTTTATTTAGTACAACATCTGGGTGTTTCATGCAGTAATGAATAACAGTAAATCACAGTTACAAATCCATAATTGTTGTTCAATCTTATGTCGATAGTGACAATCGTATTCAGAATCATTTAGTAGAATCCTATAGGCATGACTTCTATGAGTGTGATGAATGTTACCCTATAGACATGATTTCTAGCATTGAATTTATTTTAATCCTATAGGCATGATTTCTATGATTGAACTGATTTTTAATCCTATATGCATGATATCTATTATTGAACTGATTTTTAATCCTATAGGCATGATATCTATTATTGAACTGATTTTTAATCATACAGGCATGATTAAACAGTATATGGACAAAAATTTATACACATTGCCAGAAAAATAGTTTAGTCAAATACTGCTCCTATACGCATGATTGCTAACACGTTTTATAGGATAAATTGATTCATCCTATAGGTAGGATTTCTAACAAGTCATAATATTAGTCCTATAGGCAGGTTTCTCGTAAGTAAACACAATATAGAACTCATACGATTTTAGCAAGAATACCATAAAACATATAAGCAGAATCCACAGCACAAATGAGATTCTATATGCAGGATTTCTACCCGAATTAGCAAAGAAAATAAAGACCCTTCCCAATTTTACTAGATACCCCAGAGTTTGTTTGTTACAACATTATTACATGCCAGATTAATAAATAAATTACATAATAATACTGAAAATACTATAGAGAGCCTTTATCAGGCCCAAATACACCTGGGCAACCCAGGCCTTGAAACCATATCAGTTCTATGGCTCATTTCAGGGGTACAGAACAACCCATAATGAGTGATTCATACATAGCACATATAGAGCCAGATCTCATGTGTGTCAAAGTTCTCAAGGGCCTCAGGGACCCAGGGAAATGCTCACACTAAAGAGCAAATGCTCAGAGGTTGTTCAAAGAGGTTAAGAACCAAAACCCCGGTGTGTCAGAGTTCACATGAATCTCACGTGGACCCTAAGCAGTGCTCACACTGGGGAGGTTGAGGATAGAACCTAAAGGACCTAAGGGTAGGAGTTTAAAAAAAAGTAGCAACACATAAAAGGAGGCAGGGACAGATTTAAAACAGTGTTGATTTTAGAAGAAAACCATCATAACAGAGTTTAGAACACAGAATTTGTAGGTAGAATTGCACTAAGAAACCAATTGGAAAGGTTTGCAAAGTACATAGTTTTAAATAGGTTAAGTCAGAAAAAGACCTAATTACACTAAGTGTGAATGCTGACATTTTAGGACAACATTGTTTAATCACAGCAACATTGAGGCAAAGTGTTAAGGCAAACAGTCAGATTATCACATGAATCTAGAGGGGTGTAAGACATGTTAGAAAACAAGTTGGCAGGGCACATGAATTAAGTAACAATACAAATCTATAAAGTTTAGGATTGATTAACTAATTCCATACTAGTAGCACCCTAAGGATGCTAAGTTCAGAACAGGTTCAGGACCAGTAAACAGTATGCATGAGACAAGTTAAAGCAATAAGTTATCCTTTAAGAGGATTCATATTATTCAAAGATAACCAATCTCAGAACTAACAGTACCAACTATAAGACTAAAAGAGAATCATATAAACATGCAGAATCATGCTCAGAATGGACTTTAAACATGCTAGATTGTAAACATAGTTCAGGGATACATAGAGATGAAATGATAAAGGATAGTCACTCACAAGTTAAGCAAGCAAACTAGAATAATACCACAAAGTCGAGAGTCTAGAATATTTGGCCTTGGCTTTCAGCTGGCCAAGACCAGTAGTAAACAAGAGAAGGCAGAAAGATTATAGAACTAAGCCCTAGATTTCTTAGTGAGAATATATTTATTTCCGAGTTTGTCTAAAAGGGAAAGAGGAGGGGTTTAAATAGTGCAGGAACTAAACACATAAACATGAAAAGTAATTAATTCAAGCAATCAGTAAAGAAGAAAAATTTTGAAACCCTAGTTTTAGGTAAACCCCACAAAATCGGCAGAAAATAAAGACTATCAATTACATATTGCATGCTATGAACATAGACAAGAAATTAATCAAAAGATACACATAATCGAACCAGATCTGGTCTAAATGAAAAGGGTTTGAAACCCTAATTTAGGGTAAGTAAAAGAAATTGACAAAAATAGGCAGATTTATACATAATAGGACGAATATAGACGGGATAATACTTAAAATTAAAGCCTGAACCAGTTTTGGTTCGAACCAAAAAAGGATCTGAAAAACCTAACCTTAGGGT